ATCATACAGTATTTGTACAGTATGCTAAGACATTATATTTAGAATAGAATAGAATAGAATAAACCTTTATTATCCCACGAATGAGAAATTTGGGTGCTATACAACTCTTATAGCAAGAGGAATATAGACACAAAGTAGTCCTATATACATAAGCCACTGAGATATGCATAAAAGTGTACAGAGACGTATAAAATCTACAGAGACATGTACAAAAGTGTGTGTGTGTGTGTGTGTGTGCGTGTGTTGGAGGGGGGGGGGTTATGAATACCATGAATATGTACAAACAAGATGCAAATGAGTAACAGCAAGTGACAACAACAAACAAGTGATATGTCAATTAAACCAGTAATGAGTAAGATAACCTGTGTTATAGATTCTGACAGCTGCTACCAGTTTGTTATGTTTCCCCATGTCCCTCTCTGCCATTCCACCACGCCAGCAGACCACAGCATAAAAAATAGCAGACGCCAGCACAGTGTTGTAGAACATCCTTAGAAATTTAGCTTTAGTATTTTATTCCTTTATGATCCTATATAATGCACTTTTAAAATCACTGTAAAAATATTAGAGTTAGCCAAAAAAAAAGCTTTTTTAACTGTAGTCTCAGCACATATGTTAAAAGTAATTTTAATTACAGAAAATAAAGAAGAGATTGAGATACACAGTGATGTACAACAATAATTAATCTTATAATCCTCTCTTTCAAAGGTTCGCAACTTCCTCTACACAGTTAAGGCTTATCCAGACTTCACTCTGGACACACGATTTGTTCAGCAGGTCAGAGACATCGCTGATGCGATTGAAAACAACCAGACGAGATGTGCAGACTATCTCTCGGAGAAGATGGTGCTGGACTATGGGACTCATGTCATCACTAGTGTGGATGCTGGTGCTGCTTTGGTGCAGGAGGACTATCTCCGTTCCTCATATGTGTCAGACAGCCAGTCACAAACCTCCTCTGTTAAAGCACAGGCTGGATTAAACTTCTTTGATAAGCTAAAGTTTGACATTAGCAGTCAAAGTGCCCAACAGAGCTCATCACTTCATACATATCAGTCCAACATTACATACTCTCTCATTCAAAGCAATGGAGGCACAACCTTTTATCCTGGTATCACTCTGCAGAAGTGGCAGGAAAGTACCAGAAACAACCTCGTTGCCATCGATCGCTCAGGATTTCCTCTTCACTATTTCATAAACACCAACACTCTCACTGATCTGCCACACCCTACGATTGGAAAAGTTGCTCTTAAAGTCAGTCAGGCTGTAGAGCGCTACTACAAGATCAATACTCGCCCCGGATGTGTTGATGTCAACTCCAAGAACTTCAACTTCCAGGCTAACATGGATGATAATTCCTGTG